TGAAAATGCCATGCCTTGGTGAATGTTCGTCAGGTCTGGTCTCTCTTGAGGAATAATCAAAGAATTAAAAAAAAAAAATTCTGATGTGTACACCACGTGACTTCCTTGTACGGAATATTAAATTATACGTTATTTTTTTGCTGCATTTCACTGAAACTGATTTCCTCGAATTGCATTAGAGATATACTTCTCATTCAATTAATTCAGTTTTCACTTCGCGACAAGGCAAAAATACATAAAATCTCAAAATATCTTTATCAAAAATTGAAATATAAAAAAATATAAAACACCAAATACAATTTAAAAAAATTTTTACAATTAAAATTAGAATTAAAAAATACGCAAAAACATGCAATTCGGCCAGCGGGCAAGAAGGCAGATTTTTCGGTGCACAAAACTGAACGTTTACTTTCGGTGCCACTCGGAAAAAAGACGCTGAAGCATCAGAAACTGACTTAATTCACTATTCTGGTAAGTTTCAAACGTAAACCGATATGGCTGCTATGGTAAAAAGAACTAGGCTTAGCTGCACTTAAAAACCTTTAAATTATTGATAATTCTACAATTGCTGCATACACATTAACTATAGTCATAAAAATCTTAACGGGATAAGCACAACATAATTCAATCCCTTTTAAAGCAAAAAATGCACAATTTGCCAACATATAAAACAAAAAAATAGAAACTGAGCTCAAGGAGTCGAGTAACAGAGTGGGTATATGTATATATATATATATATACTTTTGATGCGGCCGATTTCAACCAAAACGGGAGGTGCACAACTGCATGTTATATCAGTCCTATATACACATTTTCAACGTTCGGAGGCTGCTGGTTTTTGAGTTATGCGAGATACTTAATACATACATACGTACGTATAGACATCTCGAAAAAATCTCTTCTGAATCCTTTTAAAATTCCTTTGGCAACCCTTTTTGGGGAAAAAGAGTCCTTTATTCTGTCTTTACGTACAGATGTCACGCAAAAACATCGTTAAACTGTATTCGATAGGGGTCAAAACGGATGTTTTCATTGAAACATAATACTCGAAAATTTTCGCGATTGCAATACTTCCTTTACTTATTACAAAGAAGTAAAAAAGACTACAAGTTGTAAGTTTTTAAATACTGTTACTAGATCTTCTCTCGAATACTTATTTTTTTTAATCCTGCCCATAGGATTGGATTGGATTATTCAATTATCGCAAAGCACACGAGGGCTATCTGCCTAAAGGGAGGGATGCCTTCGTGGAGGACTTTCTAAGGGAAACTGGCTCGTATACACGTTACACATGGGGAAAACCACGAAAACGCCCATGCAGCCAGCCCGTTCGCGGGATTCGAACCTCACACCGAACTACCAGTGTTCAGCGTTTTTACCGCTCGGCCGCTGGTGGGCAATCCTGCACATAGAGTAAAGTTTCAAGTAGTAAAATATTTACTATGTTTTGATGAGTTAATATTCACCCAAACAGCCCTTTGCCTTTAAACTTGTAAAGTGGATACGAGCCAGTTTCTCTTGAAGTGTCCTCTACGAAGACATCATTTTCTCAGGCGCATAGCTATTGCGTGCTTTACCGTAATCAATCAAACCACACAAAATTTGTACTTATACTTAAATAGAAAAATTCTTAAATTATACCAAAACGAATATACTAAATTTTAAATACACTCTTAGACAAAAAAAAAAAAAAAAAAAAAGGGGGGGGGGGCGCACCAAGAAGGAGTTATCCGAATGGGACGAAAATCGGTAGAAGGGACGTACATGTACAGAAAAACAAATGATTACAGATTGAGAAAAATTGGATTATTTATTGAAGTGATAGAGTTTCACCAAGTGAAAAAGTCAGTAACGCGTTTGTCCACCTTGGTCCCTATGCAAGCAGTTATTGGGTTTGGCATCGATTGATAAAGGTTGCGGATGTCCTCCTGAGGGATATCGTGCCAAATTCTGTCCAACTGGCGAGTTAGATCTTCGACATCCCGAGCTGGCTGGAGGGCCCTGCCCATAATGCTCTAAACGTGCTCAATAGGAGAGAGGTCCGGCGACCTTGATGGCCAAGGTATTATTCGGCAAGCACTAAGGCAAGCAGTAGAAACATGTGCTGTGTGGGGACGGGTAATATTTTGCTGAAATGTAAGCCCAGGGTGGCGTGACATGAAGGGCAACACAATGGGCCTTAGAACTTCGTCGACGTACCGCTGTGCTTGTAAGGTTGCGACGGATGACAACCAAAGGGGTCTTACTATGAAATGAAATGGCACCCCAGACCATCACTCCTGGTTGTCGGCCTGTCTGCCGGAAGACAGTCAGGTTGGTATCACACCGCTGTCCGGGGCGTCTCCAGATTCACCCTCGCTGGTTATCGGGGCTCAGTTTAAAGCGGGACTCATCACTGAAGACTATTCTACTCCAGTCAGTGACATTCCAGTGCGAATGAGTCCGACACCACTTCAAACGGGATCGGATCGGATCTTTTTCTATTACAATCAGGCCTTGACTGCATAAGAGTGTTAATCCTGTCACTTAAAATAGTGCCTATGGCCGATTAGTAAGTAATAAAGCGGTGCATATACACCTCACCCGGAGGCGAATAACATATGTGTCACATGCGATCTTCTTCTTGGCAATTAAATGGCAATTTTGATAAGCAATACGGTCATAATCATGAAAAGCGACGTGCAGTTTAAGTAGTCAGGAGTTTGAAGCAATTAAGCAAACGGTCATAATCAGGGGAGTAGTGGCAAGCAATTAAATGCAAAAGCAGTCCATAATCAAGTCTAGAAGCGGGAGTGGTACGGCAGTTAGGATGATAAGCAGAGAGCTGCGGTTCTAAATACGTCTTTCTCCTACGACGGCGTTCCTCTGAGCTCTCGATTTGGCTTAGTGAGGCGGTCACGTGAATTTGCTCGACGTATCTATCATAGATTACGGCGATGAAAAAGTCTGATTGGACCTTGTAGGTCACATGAGTATATAAAGTTAAAAAAAGTTCAGATACTTGATTAAATAATAATTCTTGATTAAATATAGTGAAAAAATAAGAAAATATTTACAATATATACAGGATTACCATTTTGGATTATGGTGAATCGTTTTTGGTTTTTTGACAATGTAGTCAATGGTAGGGTCATAGTCCGTAATACTTTGAATCGTCGAGTAGGAGCTTTTCCTCATGTTTTCAAAGACGTTGTGTGAAATCGTGAGAATATGATCCATAAGAGGCTGAATTTCTAGATCTTTATGAATTTCCCTATTCCTAACAAACCAGGGAGCATTAGTGATGGATCTAAGAATTTTGTTCTGAAGTATTCCAAGTTTTTTCCTTTCGGTTTTAAGTCCAATTGCCCATGCCGGGGCAGCATAAGTCAGGATTGGGCGTATTAAGGATGTATAAAGTATTTTTTTTTAATTCTGAGATTAAGTTTTGAATTTTGACCGATAAGGGGATAGATTGCCATATAGGCTGCATTTCCTTTATTAGCTATATGTTGGATGTGTTCCTTGAAGGTAAGTTGTTTGTCTATATAAACTCCTAGGTATTTGTAAGTATCAGCTTGAGGAATAGGCAAGTTATTAATTTTAATTTCAGAGTTGATTCTTCTAAGTTTTTTATATCTCATATAAAGCACTGTACAGCATTTGTTAACATTTAGATTAATTTTCCAGATGTCGCACCAGTGAGCGATGTTATTGATATGCATTTGCAGATTATTAACAGCCAATTGTGGGTTAATTGATTCGGATAGAACAATGGTGTCGTCGGCATATTTAAGAACTTTAGCATTGATAGGATGTGGTAAGTCATTGACATAAATATTAAAGAGCTTAGGATTCAGGACACTTGCCTGAGCGACGCCACAAAACATCCTTTTCCTTTACAGAGAGAGTGTTACCAATGCGCACTTGAAAAGTCCTATTTTTAATAAAATAATAAATGATTTTGATGATGTTGTCTGGGAGCATTAAATTAGAAAGCTTATACTTAAGCCCTGCATGCCACACTCGATCAAAGGCTTTCTCAAAATCGAGGTAGCACGCAGCGACTGCACTCTTTTTTTGAAAAGCTAAAGCAATGATTTCAACAAGATTTAAAATTTGGTGAGTGGTGCAATGTCCTTTGCGAAAAACAAATTGCAGGTTATCAATTAAATCATATTTTTCTAGGTAGTCAGTCATTGAGGCGGGAATTAAGAACTTTCTCATAAATCTTTCCCATGGCCGGGAGAAGACTGATTGGCCTGTAACTAGAAGTTTCTATTGGATTTTTTTCAGGTTTAAGTATGAAAATTATGATGGAGTGCTTCCATTGCTGTGGGAAGTAAGATAAACGTATGCATCCATTTATAATATTACATAAATTGACTACACATCTATGAGGTAGGGCTTTTAGTGCTTCATTATTAATTTGGTCGTAACCTTTGGTCTTTCTTGGTTTGAGGGATTTAATAAAATTTTTGATTTCATTTGTAGTAGTGAATTAAATGAGATTTTGAGGAGAACTCCTATTTATATTATTGACATAATCCATTGCTTTTCTTCAAGTTCAGAATTATTAAGAGGTAGAGGCTGATAGATTTTTTCTTGCTTCTTTGCCATAAGTTAGCAATGTCTTGATCCGAGTGGTAAATATTTCCCATATGCTCTATTGTATGTTGATTTTTGGAATTATTTTGTCTGAAAGATTTAGCAATTTTCCATACTGCATTATTATTATTAGGTTCTAAATTTTCAAGCAGGAAGTCCCATTATTTCCTAGATCTATAGTCTTGAATTTCAGTTTTGATTTTTCTGTTCAAATAATTGAGGTAACGTTTATCACTTGGAAGCCAAGTGATAAACTTTACCTCAGTTATCTGAACAGAAAAATCAAACATATCAAACAATGCAAACGGGATCGTAATTTCTCCTCTTGAATATCCTGCCAGTTGCGCAGATCAGATCTCGGTGCGTCGTGGTGCGGGTTTTTTTTTTTTTTTTTTTTTTTTTTTTTTTTTTTGTCTAAGAGTGTACATAATTTAAGATGTTTTAGAGCAAATTAAAGAAACAATAATGAACAAAAAATTCTCGTTTAATTGATACTTTTTCGTCCTGGACAAATCACCATTCAATGTTCAATATATAATTGACATCTTATTTTTTTCGAGAAGGGTAGGCTTACTTATTAAACACGCACCTGATAGAATTTTGCCCTTAACGTCATGGTACCTTTTGTTTTCAACTGATGGAAGCAGAAAGATTGTTTTATTAACAGAAATTTAGTAAAGTAATCTTTGTCAGTGAGGACCACATAAAAATTAAAATTTTATTTTTTCAGAAACAATGCACTCACAATGCTGAAACTTTTCACAGAATTCTCTACTATATTTTATAAGACTCTGAAATCGGAAGTGTATGTGTAGGGTCAATACTTAAAGAAAGCTTCTAGTCATTTTCTACGCATTCATGTAAAACTTTGAGAGAAACCCTCTATAAGTAAGATTTGGGGATACTTACCGAAGAGATATGAACTGTAAATAATACTAATACGAATTAAATTTTATATTTAGAAAACAAACTGTTTTCGGTGTGTAGTGATAAGTCAATTAACTAAAATTAATGTAATATACTTACAAAGGGTATAGGAGTTTAAATATTTGCAAGGATAAAAAACTTTTGCTTCCTTTTCTCTTCTGTATCGTGACATATTATTCATTGACACTGTCTACTCGATAATATTGAGACGGGCATATATAGAAATTTCGAATGTTCACCACAACATTGGATGGAAGCAATATCAATTTTGAAAGTTAATATTTTTTTATATTGCCAAAGTCAGCTTTAAAAATGTTTTCAGGTATCTTCGATGTAGACCTTTCTTCTTTTTTAAGAGGCTGTTCGGGCAAAGAAGACAGCAAACTTTCATTAGACCAGTTGGCTGGTGGAAGTGCTTCTAAGCTTTCAGATTCATTCGGAACATTGCTCGGATTTGCATCTATTAGATTGTCCCAAGGTTGAATCTGGGCAGACCCATAAGCAAGGAAAATAATTACAGCGATAAAACTTATGAAACATGTGGCATAAAAGACTTTTCCCCAGAGTTCCATGCCATCCTACAATGAAAATGAAAAAAGTTAAATCCACGATAATTAAGAACTAAAAAATTTTAAATTAAATAATACGGGCGAACTTAAACGAATCGAAATAGGAGGGACATGAAAAATGTTCGAGTAATTGAAATTCTGAGTTAATAGATAACTCAGAATTAAACTTAGCGAGAATAAACTTAGTAAATTACAACTGAAAATATTTAAATTTCTCGTAAGTATCCGTAATATTACACTTAATTGTATAATTAATAGTAATTTTGACAACGATATTACAAAAAATTTAACATTAAGTAATACGGGAGAAATTAAACGAATCGAAATTGGAGGGACATGAAAAATGTACGAGTAATTAAAATTCTAAGTTAACGAGACTTAGTAAATTATAACTGAATATATTTAAGTTTCTGCTAAATATCCATATATTATATTTAATAGTATAATTAATAATTATTAGCATTTTGACTATGATGTTACAACAAACAAAAACAAATTTACCATAACTATGAAATCACAAAAGGTGCTGATCGATAATTGGATACCATATGGCTACTTGAAAAGGACAACGAAAGTTGATAAATTTCCCCCTTGCATATGGCAATAAGCTAGTGGTATGAAACATCGTGCTTCTGACTAAGTCATATGTCAATTTGACAGTTATAACGAAAATTAATAAATTCTTTTCTTTGCATTTAATATCCTCCTAGTGCTTTGAAATTAGTTAATTCTGATCAAGAATTGAATAGTATATGTCAAATTGAAATTGACACCGGAAGTTAATAAGTTATTTTCTTTGCATTTGGTAATAATGCTTCTGAGATCATGTGGTTCTGATGAAGAACTGGATAACATATGCCAATTTGAAAGCGATAACGAAAGTTAATAACGTATTTTAATTCTGGTCTTTTCATCTCGTACAATATACATAACAGCGGTACGAAATCTTGCGGTTTTGACTGGATAATTTGATCGAGAATTGGATAAAGAAATGATAATGGAATTTAAGAAATTCTTTGCATCTGATAATATTTCTTCATCAATTAATAATTAAAAATTTATTACGCAAAAAAAACTTAAACAGAAATAATGTATTAAAGATATTATTTTTTGTTTCTTTGAAAGAAATCTGGGACGTGGAACAGCCCAATTTCTCTTCGTTTCAAATGAATTATGTACATATTATTTTACTTGTTCACAATGAATACCACTTTAAATATTGATAAAAAAAGAAAGTCCTGTTGCCAACCCGGATGACCAGATGACCTAAAAAACAGTTTAAATTCAATATTGCTTCCATCTTAAAGTTTATTTTAAGAAAGCATGAGGAGTTACCTCCGTACACTGGAGATAATAATACCGGTCCAATGATCAGATCACAAAATCATGCAGTCATCCATTCAAGGAAAAGGCGTAGAAAGGTTTAGAACGCGCTTGTCTTTCATAAAAAAACAAGACGTTTTTGGACCATAATTTTCATGTATTCATCTCTAAGCATTTAAAAGAGTAAAAATTTCTTATAAAACTTATGTAAATACAAACAAACAGGATACACAGAAATTAATTTCAGCTCTCATGAGAGTGCAAATGACTCTAGTTATAACATTGTTTCGCGTCATATAGAAAAATAATACATTGATATATTGAGCGGCCGCTACATCATAAAATCAGTTAATGCAATCTATCATCAGTTTTTGATACTTTGATAGTTGGTTGGTTATTCTGGCATGCAGTGGAAGATGCACTACTCCTGCTCTTTCCAGATTCCTGAATTAATCCCCTTAGGATCCTAACGTATGTAAAAGTCCAATGATGAAGCTTCTTCATTCAAGATAGCCTTGTGTTATCATCAGTTGGAGACATTTTCTTTTTTTATATAAGAATTATGGTATTATGCACTCACCTATGAGAAATATTTTTCTAGAAATAGTTAAAGACATAGTGATCTGATTCCGATCATTTAATTATTGAATAATAAAATTCTCGCGCGTTGCCAAATATATTATGGTTATGCTAAATATATATGGGTTATTTTTCCGGAATGGAAAGCGAAATTTTTCAGCATCATATACAGTTTGACTTTCCACGCTATCTCGAGAATTTATAATTGCAGTTCCAAATTTAATTACTTTTCTTAAAGTATTACGTTCTGCATTCGGAAATTATGTGGCTCCATTTACACATTCTCAGTTCTAAAAGTATAAAAGTTTTAAAACAAATATTTTACCGATGATTTTGAGAAGTACCCAACCATAAAAGGCAAAAGCGATCCTGTTAGTGCTCCTAAGGTATTCATAATTCCAGATAAGATACCTAAAGAAGAAAATAAGTTCCCTTTACAAATTAGAAAGCAAGACATATTTATGTGTTTATAGCATAATTGTTTAACGCATGAGAACTTTTAATACATAATATACATAATTCAGTAAATAAGCAAAAATCTTAAAAGCATAAATGAGCTTTAAAGGTAACAATTTTGGATCTACAGAGAAATTCCCAATTTACCCTTCTTGCTTAACACTTTTTAAAACAAGTGCAAGTCAACAAGAAATAAATTTTCTTGATCTAAGAATAATTTAATACAATAAAGTTAAACTATTTGATAAAAGAGGAGAATTTAAATTTATAAATATTGTAGGAACTGTAACTGAGTAAGATTATGTAAAAGCGCTATCTAGATGTGTGCGCAGTGAGACGAAAGCTGAACTACGGCAAATACAGACGTATCCAAACTGTTTGAATGAGTGAATCCTATGGAAACAAGCACTTGCGTTGAATTTATGAAACCTTGGACTTCATCAGAACATATTACCTGAACTTTAGTGCTTTATGGATATTTTGTCATATGAACCGATCTACACCTTTACTGAGTGACTGTTATTCTCACTAGTTTCTTTTTCCTTGACTGTAAGACGGAAATAATTATACTTTTAAATATCATTCTGATTTATTAGTTTTACTTTTGGACAATTTAATTTCTTACTCTAGCCGAAAAAGGAAATAAAAGCCTTTCATCTTCTCCCGTACCACTTTAAGTTTCTTGCTCTACAACCAATCAGTAACTTCCTTCGAATTTGTTTCTCGCATTTCCAGATCTACGTAATATACAGTAACAATTTCTCCGACATTCTTTAAAGCAAACCTAAGCGTCCTTTAAGCGTCAGCTCAAACGAACCTCCTTTTGCGATATAAACAATGGATGTCACATTTGCAGATTAGGATTAAAACTTTAAGTTAAAATTAAAGTTATATTTTTGGCATATATTTATATATCGACTTTTATTGTATAATTAATGCTTTTGTGTTTGTACATTAACGAATTTTTTTTTGATTCTTTTCTTGGTATTTACCATCATTTAAAAACAAAAAGTCCATTTGATCGTGTCTAGAAATTTCCTTTGTCTCTGTGAAAGCTAATAACGTAAATCCAAATATTTTATGTTAGATTTTTTCGAAAGTTAAAAGAATTCATTGAAATAGACGAAACACGAGCATTCTCAATTGTTGCGGATTTTACGGAAGAAACATAACTCACCTTCATAAGTCAACTTTCTTCCACGAGATCAACAAGAATTGTCTCTTTAAATTTTTTGTGATTTATAATATTTATTTATACACATACACACACACATATATATATATTTTAAATTTCTTCTGAGTCCATTATAATTATATTCTAAGTCCATTACTATTATATTTTTAATAGTTTCATCCAAATCTTCTTAACAGTTTAATTCGAATAGATTAAATTAAAAATAATTTTAATCTTCCTTTCTTAGAAGATAATCATAAGTAAGAAAATTCTTAATTGAATTTAGATATTATAAGATACATGTGATTTTACAATTTTGAATTACAATATGTAGTGCATATTGTAAGAGCTGACATGATTTATAGTTATGTAAATTTCTTGACACATTAATCTATTTCCTGAGATCAAAGTAAAGCTACAATTCGAGAGGTGGAATTGCTTATCATAGCACAGTAATTTAATATATGGTACAGTTTTGTGAGAGCTCAAGGGTTAGATTTCCTGTTCTCTGTCTCTGCTGCCCAGCTCGAAGCATTATGTTTTCCAATATGCTGTTCCTTATATTGATACAAGCAAACACATAGGGATCGGGAGTATCCTCTTTCTGTACAATGGTATTGATCTGGTCTTTTCTTTCTAAATCGCTAGAGATAGCTGAGAAAGGGCCCTGACCCGTTATGAACTGTGTCACCGATGAACTGTTGCTAAATAGCTCCATTTTGACTTTTGGATAGAACTGAAAGATACATCTACTCGTGTTTCCAGATGACCACTGCTCCTGCCATTTATTCATAAGGTGCGCATTTGTAATATGCTTGAGCTAAGACTAGTGGGAATAATGTAGGCTATTGTGGCATAGTTACATCACTGGCAGTTTGCTCTGCAAGTACATTGTCAAGTTGATTCCCATGCATTGAAATGTGGGTGGGAGCCCAATACAGGTTCTGTGGTAATGCTAACAAGGTTTTCTGACGTTGTTCATGAAATAGCTTCTCCTACACTTACCCGCAATTGCTTCTAGGATTGAAATCGAATAGTATAAATGTTTATTTGGCCTTGACAATCTTTAGCATAGCTTATTGCTACTTCCAAGGCCAAATAGCTGTGCTTGACAGACCGTGTTGTGACTGTCCAAACTATGTTTCTAGGTTAATTTCATAGAGTTATTATCAATATAATGTAAACCACTCCCAGAACCACTGTCTATTTCCGAAGCATCTGTATAAAATGTTTTCGGAGCTAAAGTTACATAATAAGAATCCATGTGGATTACTGCATCGAGGTTTAATTGCACCGGATGATGTTCGAAGGTAACAATGTGGTCTCCGAAGTCGTTTATATTATATTCTATGCTCTACAGGCTTCGGCTTTGCTTTAGTTTTGAAATATTGTTCAGAATGGCTTCCTGCTCAACTCTTAGTTCTAGTGGGGGTTTACACGCTAGAACTTAAAGGGCTGCAACTGAAGTTGTCCGATAGACCTCGCTGATATGCTGTAGGAATGGACGTTGGATTGAGTTAATGATAAACTTTAGATGTTGGTTTAGTTTTTCAGCCTGTGTAGTAACACCATATAAGATAGTTCGTTCTACAACTGTAAGGTACCAATGATTAAGAAGATGCGGTGCCCCCTGCCATTTAAGAGAAAATGTTCGCTGCATCGAGTTTGCCAATAGCTAAGATTAGCTAGGATCGCTGCACTTGATGTGTGATAACCACGAGATTTTATTACCAATAATCAGGCCTAAGTATTTTATTTGTTACACACCTTTAAATGCTTTTCCCATTAATCTTAACTCAAGAATTACTCATCAGAGGATCTTTTCTGCCAATTACAAGAGTTTATGTCTTTTCTGAGGAGATAACAAGTTTGTGGGTATTTACCCAATCTACGAATTTATAGATATTTTCTTATGCTTTTGTTTGCAGATTGCTAATTTCCGAGATCACTAGCAAGAAATAGTAGTCATTGTTCTCATAAGTAGGGAATGAATGCCATGTTGGCGACAATCTACCACAGCGTAGGCTTAAGACATGAGCCTTGAGGAGACCCTTTCGTTATGTTATATCTCACTATGATGTTATCTAAAATCACCTTAACGCTTCTTTGTCTGAGGTAGCTTTTCAATATGTCAATTAATTTACCTGGGTGACTGATTGAAACTGATATTTAAGTAATAAATTTATAAAGAAATTAATAAAGAAATTTATTACTTAAATATCAGTTTACAGAAATGAGGATTCCTCAAATAACACTGTATACGGCAAAATAAATTTACTTAAAGCAAATTTTTCTCATTAAAGTAATCAGTTTTCTGTCTCGTCCTAAATAAAGTTTCTTCTAAACGTTTTAAGTATAATTTTTTTATATTTCGAAGGCTTCAGTTCTTCTCTTTAGCAAATGCAATTATCACCTTGACGGCAAGGCAAAACAGCTTAAACTGTCATTGGAACTGAATTTTGAAGGAAATTAATATCCCACTGGTTAGCCCAATTACGAATGTCCCTAGTTAAATCCAATAATGTAGAAAACTTTTATATTTAGTCTTCTGTACCAAACTTGTCGAGAGTGTTGATTTGGCGAATTTCTGCTTTGGGAAGAACTAAACGGTTACCGATATACCTCATGTGCGAGAAACAAACAGTTAACCATCTGACTGGTTTTTCATAATTGCCTTGTTTCAATATAACGTTTTCTCGTTGTAAAATATGCATTATGCTTACTATTTTCAGTCTTCTACCAGCGGTTAAAGGAAGCCATAGTTCATGCTTGAGGCATTATTTGCAGCCTTTGCAAAACTGTGGCCACCAAAAAGTAGTCTGTGTAAAATGAATTTTCCGGTTCTTTATAAACGCTATTTTTTTCATTAAATTGCTGACACAATTGTGTTACATAAAATAATAAACAGAATTTTTCAATATAGAAAATAGATAATAGAAATAGATAAATAGAAATTTCCGCCATAGTTATATATGTTGTTGTTTTTAATAATTTGCCTATATAATTGTATTAAATTCGATAACTAATATATATGATAATTAAATAATTTCTGTTGAATTATGTTACCCACCTGACCGGTACAGTGGTTAGAGACGCTAACACGCCCTAACGATGGTCCCCGAATCTCGGAGAACGCATAGATGTCTGTAAGCGGATAGTATTTGTGAAGCGAGGCGATACTCAAAATGCACGTCGAGCCTGAAGTCCTCTTGAAAAGCTGATGGCAGGGAAAAAAGGATAGGAGACTCTCAGACGGCCTTCGGGATTCCCCCCCCCTCCAAATTGGGGCATAGTTAATGGGGCGAGACTATACCTATACGATAAATAGTGAAACTATACTTGTTAAATTGTGCTGTTATTTTAAATAAACTGCTGAAAAAATAAGTTCCTTAAATTAAAAACATTAAATTTTGTACAGATATTGAATAGATGTGCAGATATGTTTCACAGAAATTGAATCAATTATCGTTTAAAGTCAGTTTCATTTCAATGCCTGCTTAGAACACTTGCGCACAAATCTCATTTCCTTAAGCCCGAATTACGTCAAAGTGGTTTTCTTTCATCAAGACCTCTGCAGAAGACAAGAGCGGAAACTTTTATTTTGGAAGGATTATATTTTATATTAGGTCTAAACGTCGTGGTGTAAAATTGTTTTATAGTTAATAATAATTTTATCTTGGTGGAGGAAAGAGTTTAGTAAGGATAGTAGCAATCACAGTACGTGAGTATAATATGCAAGCATGATAGTAAAGAAAAGTTACCTGAATAACGAGGTGATAAATCTACTGGAATGTTTACTAAAGCTGTAAGTGTAGGTCCTAAGCTGCCTAATGCAAATACCATCACCAAAGTACTTAATGCTCGGCTACAAAGAATGAAGGTCAAAAGTACCATGAAAGTAGCGGCTAAAGATAAACCTGAAAAACAAAATTTAAATACCACTTCTTTCAGAATTTTAAAAGCATTGAAACTTTCATTTACAAACAAACAAAACTGTTTCTGAAACAAATATAATAATTCACTTAAATAAACGCTTTCTAAGTGTTGTTCGTCAGGTTAATCAAATAATTCCGATTTTAGTTTATTATGAATTGGTATAACTGCACGATGATGACAGTTACAGAGATAAGCTTCCAGTGCTAGTCTCAAAATGATGGATAGAAATGTCATAGTTGTGGCATAACTCAGTATTTACAGACAAACTTTTATAACACGTCATAATGGATATATAAAACTGGATATATAAAGTAGGATGGAAAGGAAATAATAATACATAGTTGAATACATACGCCGATCGTATTAATCAAGTAAAACATTATACTAGGCAAGAACATCGGAGTATTCATAAGATTGAATGGCAAAGAACTAGGAGTCCAGACTTAAATTTAAAATTTCGTACTTTCCAGAATGAGATCACGGCAATATGGGACCAGCGCAGCCAGTCAAGATACACCGAATACATTCAGTCCTTAACGACTTCAGATAACAGCCTTTGGCATGCATCAGCCAGACTACGCAAACAAATCATGCATTCCGTCCTTAGCAAAGGACGCAGTAATGGTTAATACAGACACGGAGAAAGCTGAATTATTAGCTGACAGTGTCCAAACTCAATTCACACCACATAATGAAGGAATTTTTTCTAATACTCCGAAGCTCCTTCCGATGTTGAACGATTTCTCCACTTTCCACGTAGAAGGGACTTACAATACACAACACAGCGAATATGTAGCTAAGCTCAAACCTAAAAAGGCGCCATGATTGGACTCTATTTCTAATCATATGATTAAAACACCTTCTCACAAGCTATATATTTTTTTAGTAATGTTAATAAACTACACTCATGTCCATAAATTAAGGATAATTAGGAGTCACGCGGAAATCGAACTCTGAAATTAATATATCACCTGTAAAATCACTACACACATCTTCAAAAATCATATACAAATTTCAGGAAGTAACCAGATGACACTGATGGTACGTCACAATGACGAGAGTGTAAGAGAGTGATATATAAGGAATACAGGCAAAGAAGTAAAATTGTTTGCAGGCGCTTTATATGCGTTTTAGTGCAATAACCGAATAGTTATGACACAAAGCACGCATTTGGATGATTTTTTACGTGCTAGAATTATCGGCAGTCTGAAATGTGGGCGTACCCAACTGGAAGTATCAGACGAACTTGGAATTGCCCAGAGTGTCATCTCAGGCTTTGGCAACGATTCCAAGATGATGGTAATGTGAGTAGACGTTACAGCACAGGTCGTCCCAGAGTTACAACGCCGAATGAGGACCGGTATTTGCCAGTTACTGCCAAAAGAAACAGGCGGAGCACAGCCTCAGACCTGTCTCGTCAGCTCTCTTCAGCCACTGGTACGACAATTTCAAGGCAGACCGTGTACAGACGCTTAGGGCAGATTGGTCTATATGCTCGTAGACTTGTCAGATGCGTTCCACTTACTGCAACTCACTGTCGCCTGCGGTAAGCCTGGAGTCGAGAGCATGCATTGTGGACACCGCAACAGTGGACTTGTGTGATGTTTTCCGACGAGTCCAGGTTTAGCTTGCAGTCTGATTCTCGCCGGACTTTCATATGGAGAGCTCCAGGTACCCGTTACCACCAAGAAAACATCATTGAACGACACCGTTACGGTGGTGCAGGAGTGCTCGTTTGGGCTGGAATTATTCTGGGTTCCAGAACTGACCTGCATGTTCAAATTGGAACCATGACAAGACAAATCTATCGGGACGTCATTCTCGAACAACATGTACGTTTGTTTCGGGGCGCCAATTGTATTTATGGATGACAACGCCCGTCCTCATCGTGCAAACATCGTAAGCGAATGCCTTTAATCGGAGGATATCCCCCCGTATGGACTGGCCAGCATTCTCACCGGACTTAAATCCAGTACAGCACGTGTGGGACATGCTTGACCGACAAGTTGCAGCCCGTCAAACTCCTCCTACATGTCTACCGGAACTTCGGAGAGCATTGCTTTTTGAGTGGTGTAATATCCCCCAAGATCAGATCGATAATTGGATACTCAGCATGCCTAGTCGTTGTACGGACTGTATTGCATCGCCTGGGAGACATACAATGTATTAACTATCATAGCAACCATGTAATATTGGTTTTTTGTGAATAGGTTTGTTTTGTAATTTGCTCCAGGGAGAACAAATCGCTAATATTTTTAATAATATCAAACATATAGCATCTTTTTTTGCTCTTTACCTTTTGTTTAATAAATAAGCTTTACAAATAAGTCAAATTTGTTTTGCTTCTAACTCTTCCTTTGCCTGATTTTGCATTATCCTTAATTTATGGACATGAGTGTATATGTTATTGCATTACTCTTTCTCTCAAAGCTGGAAGAGTGCAGTTATAGTGCCTATTCAGAAGCCTGGCCTGTGCCAATCAAATCCTCAAAATTACAGACCGATCAGTCTCCTCTGTCTTCGTTATCTAAGACATACGAATTTGTGCTACTTAAATGCCTGAATGATTTTCTCCGGAGCAAAAAAGGTCCTTATTGATGAACAATTTGGCTTTCGAGCAAAAACTTGCACAACGCACCAGCTTCAGAGGACTGTGGAGTACATTCACGAAAGCTTTCGTAGCAAAATGCTTACCGGCGTACTTTTTCTTGACATCGCCAATGCATTTGATAGGATTTGGCATATGGGAATCATAATCAAGCTCATGCGACTTGATATTTCGGCTCAACTTATTCACATAATTAATTAATGTCACTAATCGTTCTTTTTCAGTACGAGTTAATTCTATCATTTGAACGACCCATCCAATTCTAAGTGGCGTCCCACAAGGTAGTCTTTTAGCGCTCTTTTTATTCAACATTTACATTAATGACTTACCAAAATCAGTTTCACTCTAGCACTTTATACAGACAACACAGCCATCCTCTCCAAGCACAAACAATCGGATAAACTGGTTCACAACATTCAGAGTTATTTCTCAAGCCTTGAGCACTGGCTCATTACTTGGAAAATCAAAATTAACGTCGCTAAATGTATTTCCATGATAATCATACGCTCCCGACTCAGGTACCCTTCCATTAATTTAAAATTCTTTGACGACTATATTCCCTAGTCAAACTCATATAAGTATCTAGGAGTGATACTTCATTCAAAACTACTCTGGCATCTTCACATTGAGAATACTCTCAATAAAGCGAAGAGCGTCAGATTCCAACTTTACCCTCTATTAGCTCGAAAGAGCCATCTGTCTATCAGAAAGAAAGCTCTTCTCTATATTTCAATTATTCGACCAATTTTTATGTAGGCTTATACCATTTGGAGTACCGCTGCGAAGACTCACATAAAAAAATTACAAGCCTTTCAAAGTAAAACCTTAGGTTGATCCTTAGTGCAGCCTGGTACGCCCGTACTGATGTGATTCACTCGGACCTTAACATTAAGCCAATTTTAAAAAAACTTAGTCAAAATTTGTTCCTCAAAATTGAACAGATTAGTAATCGAGCACTTCAACAGCTTCCTGTCTACAATCCTGGTATTCCAAGTTCACAAAAAGGAACAAGAGCCATCATGGGCCGAGACTACAGCATCTATCCTCCTCCTAAAAGGCGTAGACACGATCCCACCTCTTCAGTTCCAGCCCCCACGCCGGATAGGACGTCTCAATCTTCTAAAATTGCTATTAATCACTGACTAAGTCAAATTGATATCTTCTACTCAAGTTCAACTGAAAAATGGCCCTCTTCACACTGTTATCAATCTGTTCCTTTAAGTCACATCATGCCCGCAGAATTAATTTCTGCCTTGGGTATTTCGTCGCGTGTTCAAAAACTTTACTACATTCTGATTTAGCGCCATATGCCAATGAGCCTCTTAATTTCTAAAATCTTTCCTTTCTTTTTTTTTCTTTTGTGTTTTATCTATGTCATAAAATATAAAATACAATAAATAAAAAAAATAATAAAAAAATATAAAAACCAAAAAAGAAAAAAATCAAAATTTTTGACTTAATGATTTTTTTCCCTATACCTAAACTCTCTCGAGCTAATGTGGTTCCCTCTAGCTTGCATCAAACTAACTATTTATGTAATTTTCTTTTTTCTGCTCACTACTTAGATATTTTTATGATGTGGAGGTACATGGTTTAGAACCATAGGTACTCCGAAATATTTAATCATTGGCATTGGCAAGATTGAACTGATTCATACCAAGTGAAATGAACCAATTTTCTCATGTGAAATAGTTTTCCACCCGAAGATAACGTAACGCTTCTCATACATAAATCTCCTTAGTGTATAACTGGCTACCTATTCAGAATTTCAGTACTTGAAGTTCAAATAGCTATAGATTCAGAATTCTGAAGTTCGGATCAAACGGAAACTCTGGGCATGGTGTGATATATTAATTTAGGATGTGATTAGCATGGAAGGCATATTTTAATTTTATAATAGTTATTTTAATTTAGTTCATCTTTTTTGTCTTTCCTAGCTTCAGCTTACAAGTCCCTTCCAGAACGAGTTTTTAGAATCGCGTTAAATGCAAATGAGAAGGAGAATAATACTTAAATCAAGTTCAACTGACTTTGCCAGGGAAAGGATTCCTGAACAGAACGCGTTTGCCTTTGGGCTAAGTCTCTCTAAGCTTTTACTGCTCTCGGCCGTATTACGTGCCTTTTGATAGTTCGCTGACTAATTTAATATTACGGGCCGACTAGTTTTTAATTGTGTTAGCTTCGTCTATATCTCTTTACATAGTCATTAGTTAATTCTTATTTCTTACATTTTGAGGTAAATCCAAGTGGAGATTTTACTGTACGCCCTGAGAAAGAGGCCGACTGATAATCTTATTTTAAGTGAAATAAAGGTAATTAACCTTTCTTGAGTTTACGTTTCTGTTCTTGGACTTAAGCGATTATTCTCTTACT